TATATATATAGACACACAATTGGTTTACAATAACAAATATCATCAGATACATATCAAACTATCAATCTCCCGAAGCATATGTATTATCTTTCTTCAACTTCCTGGAAAGGTGGAAATATAATTTGAAGTATATACGTTTAGGATTCTAATCTTTTTAAACTATTGGGTTCTAAATTAATAATTTGTACATATACAATGAATTTTTTAGGACAAATAAAGTATTTGAATCAAAGTTACTGGGTTCAGCCGAACACATAACCGACAGTGACACTCTAGCTCGGCCCCTGAGGACGATTATATCGACAAATGAGAAGAATATAAAGGAAGTTGAGAATATTGAAGAAAGCAAGTAACCAGTAGTAATAATCTAGATGACCCTTGTTAATATTACTTGACAACCAGCTAATTTCACCTCCATATGAAGTAACACTATCCAAAACATTCACTATAAGACTCCCAAAAAAGCCAGAAACAGCCATCCCAAGTGTGAAAATAGCCACAACAAAACTAGACATGCTTTTAGGAAGCTCAGAATAAAGGAACTCAACCAATCCAATTGCATTGAAAGCATCAGCTAGTCCAAGAAGCACATACTGTGGCACGAACCACATAGCGGACATGTCTACTGATGCAATATTTGGACCATCTTGAGGATATACATCTTTCTGATCAATTGCTATATCCCTCCTTATGCCTTCTGTTATCGCTGAAAGTGTCATCGCTGTAGAAGAGAGTACTAAACCAATTCCCATACGAAGAACGGGGTTTAAGCCTCCTTGCTGTCGTGTATACCTTTCCATTAGTGGCACGAAAGCACGATCATACAATGCAATCCAAAGTATTAGAGTGATTACCATAAAGACAGAAAAAGATCCAGCTGGTATTTCAAAATCAGAGAAGAATATATGTCTATCCATTGTCTGTGTTTGAAGTGTGGAAAATGAGAATTGATTTAAGCTCAACTGAACGTTTATGTTGCTGGACCATATAGGAACAACTCTAACAAGAGATTTCAAAGATTCTACTTGTTCTACACTACGGAGTCTCCACGGATTTGAAGCGGATCCATCGCGATTTATGTCTATTTGAGGATCTTCAATTATGCAAGCTTTATCTAAACACCTATAGAAACATCAGTCAAAAAGTTATAGTTTTAGCAGCTAATACAATCAAACATCTCTATAACAATAGAGAAATGTTGTTATAGAAAACATATATTATAACATAGTATGAAAATTATTTTTATAAAAAACTTGGCTTTTACAGTGAATGACTATTATATAGCATGTTGTTATAGAAAGGTCTGACTGTAGTTTACTTATAATCTTGAATTAACTAGGACTAAACATAGGCTACCCTTCTAATGATCATACCTGAAGCTGTTTGTTAAGGCCTGAATTTCAGAATCGGGCGAATGATGATAATAGTTTTCACAATTAACAGAGTGAAGATTGACATTTCTTTTTCTAACAGCAGCAACAAGTACTTGAAAGAATCCGGTGAACAAGCTTTCAGTAGCATTTACTTTGATATAAAGAGGAGAACCCAAAAGGAAGGCTGAAACAGAGAAAAGCATAAGGATAACAGGAATTCCAAAACCAACTTGCCAACCAAAAGCATCTTGAATATACACAATTAAGGTTGTCGCAATGAGTGTTGACATTCCAATAGTAGCATAGTACCAGTTGAAATAGCTTTCCATAATCCTATTATTATTGGTGTTTTCTTTGTTGTCCAATTGATCAGCACCAAAGGCGATAGAACAAGGTCTAACGAAACCAGCTCCCACAGCAATAATCCCAAGAGAGAAAAATAACACAAAGAATTGTGCTGGTGTTGGTCTGTTGCATTCATTGATTTCAAACTGATCACAAGGTAAAGGCCTCAATTGTGGAATAATGGTGGTTAACCAAAGAATAGCCATTCCCTATGAAAAAATCAGAAATTTGTCTCAGTAAAAGTAGTAAAGCTGAAATCTTCATCACTAGAAATGCAATTGTTCTCCTATGAACAAGCTCCAGCTAATTACTTTTTTGAGATATAAGAGGTTTCCAATCTAATACTATTGTCTTAATTACCTAAGAAGGGAATATAACAAATAAACTTGAAGAGCAAAGTTATGGAACATACAAAAAGGCTGGAGATGGATCCAATAGCAACAACTCTGAAGCGACCGAAGAAAGAATCAGAAACAAAGGCACCCAAAAGAGCCAATCCATGGGAAAGAGCAGACCATATATTCAATATGCTTGTAGCTGTTACAACCTCCAAATTATAACCTTGCATCAAATATATTATCATGTTTGGCTGCAATCCGTAACTTGCCACTCTCTCCAGTGTTTCGTTCACTGTAAAATAATTAGAACCACCCACAAAATGATTCTTGATATAAGAGTTAAAAAGAATTAAGGTTTAAGGAAAAAAAACACAATAAAGATTTTGCATGACCTATGATGAAAGACATGGTTTTGAGCCCACCCTTTGTTTGAGATTTTGGAGAATGATCTATCAACCTCTCTTCTTCTTGGATAATTGCCATTTTCTTTTTTTGTAATTATAATTCCTTTATTATAGTTTCAGTATTTTTCTCCTAGCTTTTCTTATCTACTTTTCACCAAAAGAGTGAAGAAAAAGATATTGCAGTAACACCAGAAATAATATCACGCAGATAGAACTTAGTGCTTTTGAGCTTTTAGTGTCAAATATCTGCTTACTGAAGAGACATGGCATTTTGAGATTAGGGAGAATCACAAATAAAGTAAACACCTTTTCATAATTCTACCAGTGTAATAATTATACAAGTTGTAGTAGTATTCAAGTGATCTTCATCAAACTTTTGACTAAGAAAATTTTATTTTTATTATTCTTTTTCTTTGAAGAAATAGCTACATGAACAAAAAAAAAAATGAACACTCATAATTTTGAAAATTGAAGCTAATCTGATTGTTTATAATATAAAGAAACCAACAAGTCTGGTCATGTGTTTCCATAATAAACATTATTAAGTTCCTCATTACAAGAAAGTGAGGATTTGGCAATATTTATTTAGTGACCATTTGAAATAGATGGCTTCCTCATAATGGTATTGTAACTGTATTACTTAGTGCTTTTATAGTATATCTTACAATTCCATAGAAGCCTAAGAATCAGTCTGCAAAATCATAGAAAAATAGCCCAAGTTTCAAAAATTAAACATTAGGAACATAAGAATCTAAAATCATATTTATAAACGTGGACGACATATATAAAGTCTCATAAACATAAATATAAAAGTAGAAAAAAATATATGAAAAGAAAAAATAGAAGATAAATTTAGACAATTGAAGAGTTTTGAATAGTAGACAAAGATTTGATACTATTTCGATGAATTTTGTGCCAAGTGTCATCACTATAACATGTCAAGTTTAAATTTTTAAGTCAAAACTTCAATAAAAGTTTCAAAATTATTTTAAAATAGAAGATAGGAAATTAAAATAAAAAAATTAAAACTGTCAATTTAAAAAAACTAATACTTCCTCGGTTCCTCCCACGTTTGTTTGGCGTTATTTTTGATTTATTTACTAAATCTTCCAATGCAAAATATAATAATAATAATAATAATTCGCCCACATTTTTTTGTGCTGCAGTTTGTAATTTATTTATATATTTAATAGCTTTTTAAACTACAACAAGAAAAAGGAAGAAAAAAATAAATCATCCAAAAATTCAACCCTACGAACTAATATCTTCCCAAATGTGGGTTTGGAACAACAATTCTTATCTACCTCCATAATTGATTTTTATCCACGTTTTTCTATGTAAATAATTTTTTTTCCGGTTTTTCTTTCAAGTATCCACATTAAGCCAAATGGCAGCCCAATAATATGCCATTTGGCATTGCTCAAAATAATTGGCAATATTAGGATAAAATAAATAAATAATATAATAAAATTAGTTAGTTTAAAATTAGTGTGGTTAATTTTGCTAATATAGTCGTGAAGGGCAGCATTTCTAATTACATTAGACGTGGAAGGTTTTTTAAAATAATTTTTGTTGCAAAGTTACGTGGAAGTTGGATGTAATTGTGTAACTATCAACACGAAAATCTGCAAAATTATTCAAGCGGTAAAATGCCTAAAATATTAATTTACAGTAATATTTAAATTTCAAAAGATAAGTAATTAACCTTATTCCTGGAAAACACTTAATCCCAAAACTCACGTATTAAAAAAAACTACTGCCCTTAACTCAATCATCAACATCTTCTTAATTAAAAACTTATTATTCTCAGAATTTATATCTGATCCAAACTATGCCAATAGATCTCAACATTCTCACAAACGGTGATAACCGGTACGAACAATATACAAATAAAATTGTAACCATAGCAAGGTTTCTTGGTCGGCCAAATATTCTCCATGGGATATATATATCTATCAAAACAGACAATTTTTCAACCTATTAATTATATTATTACTGATCTGTTTTTATATTGTTGCACCAACACTTATCAGTTGACGGGTTTATAATAATATTATCTACTATTTCATGAAAAGACAAAAGATGATAAATATTTTTAAATATTTAAATGCGAACTTTATCCTGAATTTTTTTCAATATCTTCAACAACAACAACAACTGAGTATAATCCCACTAGTGGGGTCTGGGGAGGGTACTGTGTACGCAGACTTTACCCCTACCCTGGGGTAGAGAGGCTGTTTCCGATAGACCTTCGGTTCCCTCCCTCCAAGAACTCCCCACCTTGCTCTTGGAGTGACTCGAACTCACAACCTCTTGGATATCTTCAAGTACTTAAATAATAAAATTATAATTCAAGAAAAAATAGTAGAATTTGGATATACTTAAATGTATAGATATTCAGTGCATTGACATATTTATAAAATTATATCATTTACATGCTTTTTTGTGTATCGTATTTTTCAAGTAATATTTGTATGGAAAGGTAAAAATCTAAAATCTAAAATCACATTTTTAAACGTGGACGACATATATAAAGTCTCATAAATATCATAATTAGAGTACTCACGAGAAAGGAGTTTGTATGGAATGGTAAAAATATTTTTCTACTTATGTGTTATTTAAAGCTTTGAATTTTAAATGAATGGAAGCTTGACATGGCTGAAAAACGGTTTGAAGGTCTGGTGATTGCTTTTTCTCAGGTTGTGGCCTCTTCTTGGTTGAAGGTTTCACATGAGATCTGAAAACGTAATATAGATATAGCTGCCGAAGGTCAGTTTATAGGTGCAGCTTCTTCGATTTCTTAGGTTATGTCAAATAGAGACGAACTCAGGATTTGAAGGTTGCGGATGTACTTTTAGATTCAATCAAAATCTACTTGTATATAGGGTATTCACTATTAATATATTACTATTTTCTAAGAACACATACATGTATACATATAATTTTTGCTGAACTTTACAGGTGTCGATGACCCCTCTTGGTATAGCATAGGATCGTCCCTGGTGTCAAAGCTAAGCATGCTGTAACTATAGGTTTGCATTTTGCTCTCTACGGATTGTTTCAATATTTTGATGGCTCAGATACAGTTGAATGTGGTGCAAGAAATTATGCTTTCTTGTAATTCCTCAAGTGAAGATTTTACGAAATTTTGAATGTTTTTACAAGATTGTGGGTTTTCATTAAAGAGAGAATTTAGTATTTCGCTGGCTTTGGTTAAGACTCAAAAAACTTAAGTTACTCATTACTTAGCAATGCTAAGAGAGTCTAGAAATTACACTATTTTTTTCTATTGCGAAGTATGCTCCTAGTTCGGTTTAATAAACTTGTTGGTTACTAATTCAATTTAATAAAATTCTTTGCTTAAGTAAAAAAATCTTAAACAGCCACTCAACTTAATGAATTTATCATTATCTTTGTTTTGTAACAATAAAACCACATAACTAAACCCTTTATTATAATACATAATTATCCCCCTTGGATTGTTTCACTTTACCAGTTGTACCCTCATACTTTGCGGGAGTTCTATGACCCCCTATATTTGTTAGAAGTGTAATAAGTACCACCTTTTCAAGTCATCCCCAGTTTCAAAAGAAGAAGTGCAAATCACGCGCCGATCTTTGCGTGCCACGTGTCAAATTCATTTTGTTTTTAATTTTTTCCGTTTACCTTTTTATTTGTCTTTTTAAACTTAGTTTATTCTTTTTCTNTCCCCGCCTCTCTGCTCTTTGTTGCCGACCACCCTGCATCACCCACCGAAAAACTCTTATATTAAATCAAAAGGTTACCAGAGATAATAGACACGATAAAATTATGAGACATTTTAATTAGCATAAAAATAATCTTCTAAATTTGCGGGAAACAGAACAATAAACGACGGAGATAACTTGATAGAAAGATAATGTCGCCGGAATCACCATATTTTTCGGTGAAAGACTTTGTAAAGAAAAGAAAGGAAAGAAAGAAAAAAGAAAAGAAAAATATAGAAGAAGAAAAGAAGTAAAATAAAAAGGAGAAAACATAATTGTAAAATAAAATTTGCTTCTCGTCGGAATCATTAACTTATCCGGCGAAATACTACAAGGAAGAAGACATATTTAAAAAGAAAAAAGGAAAAAGTTAAGGCATTAATAAAGAAAGAATACAAAAAAAGGTAGGAAAAAGTAAAAAGAAAAGAAAATGGAACAAACTAGCTTGGGATGTATGGGTCAAAATCTGCCCTTAGAATATTTAAGACGAGATAATACTAAGGGAAGAATTCTCAAGTCGTCGTTAGTCGAGAAGGCCCAAGAAGCAGCAAAATCCATAGTCGAAGAATCGACGAGAGCCGTAGTCGAGATGTCAACAAGGGTCGAGGTCGAGTATCGTTGATAGAGCTATCACGGCTAGTTTTCAAGATAGGATATTAAAAGAGAATATTCTACTGGATATTCTCTGCACTTGACTATTAAGGTTTCTTAGGAACATGTCACATATATATATAGAAGAAAGAGACAATGATAGGGGCATATTATATTCATTTGTAAAGAACACACTTTGACTAAAAGATTCTCTCTCTCTTGCTAAGATACAAATACCACATTTTCACTAAGATTCTTGTCTAGACTTTTCTATCAGATCCGAGAATAACTTGAAGGATTCAAGGATTTGTCTGTCATTCATTATTATCAGGAGGAACATCACATATTTCATACTTTATTGGTTGAATCATTCTCCTAATTTACTTAAACGTTATTTATTGTTATTTATTATTATTGAACGCTACATTATTACTCTTGCCTTCTAGAACAATTATTATATATTATTGCCAATGCCTGACCGGACCCATCCATATTTATTGCATCTTTGAAAACTCCATCTAGGGATATTACTGCTAACCAAGATTAACCCTTAATTACACAAATTTAATTATTTGAACCAAGATTTATATTTTTTGGTCAAATAATTTGGTACCGTCTGTGAGGATTTCTTAGTTAAACTTTTAGTTTCTTCTAGATCTACAACTAGCACGGGTCACTAACGTAAAAAAAAATGGCAAGACCTTATTTCTTTGTGTACAAAAAATCCAACATGGCAGGTAACCGAGAAGAAAGGATGAGAATAACAAGTGTCCTCCCAACCAACCTTATGAACGTCATCAACGAAAGTTGTAAAACGGCAGACAAGGGTGCGATGCCCAGTGCTTCCCATAGACGAGATGGGTCACTGCCCCTTCACTGCAGCATAATAAAATCATGTGGTAAAAGAGCCTCCACGGCTATGGAGGAAGAAACGCCCC